GGCCGCTCCCGGCCACTGCAGCCTCGACATGCTGGGCTCCGGTGATCCTTCCACCTCAGCCTTCCGAGTAGCCAGAATTACAGGATGCGCTACCACACCCGGCTGATTTTTTTGATTTATTGTAGTGACGAGGTCTTGCTGCCCAGGTGGGTCTCGAACCCGCGGGATCAGGCAATCCACTCATCAAAGTTTTAAGGAAAAGTCAAATACTAGAATGGATTCAAATTTATGTTTCTTGTTAAATGTGGTTTTATTACTGAGACTGAAAGAATTCTAAAATTGTTCTGAGAATATTCTGAGTCAAGAAAAATAAACACTTGTGAAGGGGAGAAAAGTGAGAAAAAGTTAGATACTATATAAAGAGAAGGGAATGCTAACCTAGGAAAGGAGAAGGTGATAGGAAAATAAAATGTGACTATTTTAATTGTATTGAAAATCTTAACAAATAGTCAAATTACAAAGAGATAAAATAGTGGTTATGCCTAGTATGAATTATTAAGCTGCTAAACTTATAAAAGAAATAAGATTAATTGAGTCCCTCAAGTTTTCTAGTGAATTTATATTTCTTTCATACAATATTTCAAGAAATGGACTTATACATAATAATGTATCTTTGTCAAAAATGTATTTAGATTTATTTACATGTCATCACTTCTGTTGTTTTCAATTTTATTCTTTTAGGACTTCTAAAATATATCTCAACAGATAAAGACATAGAGACATAGTATAAAAATTAAAAATTATATTAAAAGCAGTTATTTTGAAGGCTGCACTATGTGCTTACAAAATAGTGTGAAGCCGGGCTCGGTGGCTCAGCCTGTAATCCCGCGCCTTTGGGAGGCTGAGGTGAGAGGATTGCCTGAGCCCGCGGGTTCGAGACCCGCCTGGGTAGGCGAGACCTCATCTCTACAATAAATCAAAAAATCAGCCGGGCGTGGTAGTGCACGCCTGTAATTCCTGCTACTTGGAAGGTTGAGGTGGAAGGATCGCTGGAGCACAGCAGGTCTAGGCTGTGGTGGCCGGGAGCAGCCACCACACTCCAGTCTGGGTGACAGAGTGAGACTCCAACTCAAAAAAAAAAAAAGAAAAATGAAAAAAATAGTGTGAATTTATCATATTTTTCTATAAATATTTTTAAAG